GTTGACGCAGAGGAACGAAAGTCAAAATTACTGAAAGACAGAAATCAACCATAATAAAAAAAATACCGATACCAATCAAAAAATAAAGCGGCCATACATATTTTCCACCCCATACTTGACCGATATCATCAGACTGGAAACACACCAGCCTCTCCTCCTCGCTACCAATCATAAGTGCGCAGTTCCCTAACAACTTGTCTTCCTCCATACCCCCTCCCCACCCCCCTTCCCCACCCGAGCTCCATATGGACGGCTCTTTGGAACCCTAAACAGTGCCGTTCCGCGAGTGGGCCTGATTTGCATATGCTTACGAAGACAGCCAACGGCCCTACCATTGGTGGTGATAGGAGAAAGAGAGTCAGCAGACAGACAGACAGATACAGCAAATAATATATAATAAATGTTATATAAATTAGTGTTAAATTATTTCCTTACATATTATTCAGCATTAAACTACCAGTTCTCATCATAAAACACAAAACCATTACAAAATAAAAGCAGCAGATAAACAAACATATAAACACAACAAGTAAAACAAAAACAAAAGATTCCTGACCACAGAAAACGGGGACCAACACAAACATTTGTAATAGCCTCCCACTTTATGTCTTTCCAATAATTTCTTTGTGAGTTTCGCTTATTTCTCTAAAAGCCTCGAATTTCCACCGATCGAGGCGTGAAACTGTGGACGAGGAGCCACAGTCTCTTCTTTTTCCCTCGCTATAGCAGCGTTTACGAATTCGCTAAAATTACGCTGATGGTATGTGATGAATGGTGTCAGGGTAGGGTGACGTATTTGCCCCCGGGACGGGTATGAGGTGCATAATAAGAAACTGAATTAAATTGACCGTTCTTGACGCATCGTTTCCTTGGAGTTTGGATTACCCTCTTGGTTCATCTCTTCTTCGTCCTCCTCTTCCTTCCCCTCCTCCTCTTTCCTCTTCTTGAGATCAAATGCAGCATCCGATCGTACCATTATAATTCCGTTCCTATTCAGACTTAAATTCCGATCACATTAATGGCAGCCTTTGAGCAACAAAGGTGATATATGCCATAATTATTGCGGAGAGGGAATAGTGGTTAATGAAACTGACAGGAGCTAAAGAAAGCGGTCCTCCTCCTCCTCTCAAGTCACTCTCAATGTCTCGAGGATTAAGGACAAGACTGTCACAGAAGCGAATAATCAGAATTTTGAAGTTTCGGAAGTGAGATGAAAGTCTCTTTGATCGTATTTTAGACACGGCCCGCTCGTCCCATGGAATCTTTCAAGCGAGGTCTCACTACATTAAAGGATGGAAGCTTTTTCTTTTCGGGGATGAGTTGAAAGATATGTTGAATGTGTATTTTCAAAATCAGTCTTCTTATTTTTTTGTATTTCTTTGAAATTCGCACTTTTTTAAATCCCTCTGTTTTTCTAGATTTTCATCTATGTCTTTCAATGCATTATTTACAAAATTCAACTTGTTAATAACATTTTCGAACATATATATAATACAACAGTCCGAGTGTTGTAATACAACGCGCGGATACAATACAATACGTCGATGCTAGATCGCCAAACATATTATGTTATTAAGAATAACAGAGGCTTGCCAGGATGACGCTGAATGGGTTTGCTATCTACTAATGAGCGAACCAAGAGACCTTCAGACAAACGTAGCGTACACACCTAATGGTACTTGCTTAATTGTGCTTACCAGAATTCAACTTCGACTCATCAGTCCCGCCCCTAAAACTGCAATCAACCGGTGTATAAATCCCTGAGCCTATTGCACGGGCTCTTTCATCTTTACATTTGAAACTGTGTATGGAGTCTGTTTCCACCATATCACTTCCTATAGTGCATTTCATTTGTTCACTACTATACCACTGAAAAAATATTTCTAAAAGCTCTTTTAGAATCGTTCTAGAACATTTTTTCTCTATCTGATTCTGCAGGTCTTTCTCTATCTGATTCTGCAAATCTTTCTCTATCTGATTCTGCAGATCGTTCTCTATCTGATTCTGCAGATCTTTCTCTATTTGATTCTGCAGATCTTTCTCTATTTGATTCTGCAGATCTTTCTCTGTTTGATTCTGTAGATCTTTCTCTATTTGATTCTGCAGATCTTTCTCTGTTTGATTCTGTAGATCTTTCCCCATCTGATTCTGCAGATCTTTTCCCATCTGATTCTGCAGATCTTTCTCTATTTGATTCTGCAGATCTTTTCCCATCTGATTCTGCAGATCTTTTCCCATCTGATTCTGCAGATCTTTATCTGATTCTTGAGGTATTTCATCTCCCATTGAATACCCTCTTTCCTGCCTCCTGCTCCCTCCACCTAAATTTATTACTTTGCACTTAATTTAAACTCTAGTGGCAACTTGTTGGACCATTTTTTTTTTTTTAGTTTATCCGAGTCATCTTGATTCCATTCTATGTCTTAATCCTTCTCACAACATTTGCATCAACATTGATGAGCATGGTACCATCCAATGTACTGAACATGGCACCATCCATGGTACTGAACATGGCACCATCCATGGTACTGAATATGGCTCAATTCATGGTACTGAATGAATGTACCATTCATCATGGTACATGATGAACCATTGCCCTTTCCAGAAAAATCATTTACATATATCAGAAACATGATATCTGAGTACCGATTACTGTGGGACACTTCAGAGTAACTCTTTTTCTTTTTTGTGTCGCCTAGGTACTCCCTTATATACTTGAGAATATTTCCTGTCACACCTGCCTGCCTGCCCATCTCTTTCTTGTCAAAGTCTTGTCGCCTGGTCATAGAATTGTATTGAACCTGTGGGATTTACTGTCCTTTAATACACTTGGGTGACGTATTACAAATCTGCGTCTCTTGAGATGTATTACTAGCCTTTTTACTAGGACTTCTGTTACTAGTTCATCACACTTCTGGGTGATGAAATCCATCACACATTGTATTTTTGTTAGAAACTCTTTCATGGAGGTGAAGGAATGACCCAATATTCATCTTAAAGTATTAAAAACAAAATTCGGATGTCAACTACATCATTTCTCAAGGTACTTTATACAATATTCGATGGAGAACATTACATTCAGTACGTTGAGAAAGGATATGTAAGTTACTTCCCAAAATTTGGTTTGTAATACATTTATACATATAATAGGTCACTTCAGCATAGTTTTCCCTTTAGCATTCCAGACCTCCGCTTCACTTGATTAGGTTATTCCTACTTCCACTAGACACTCAAATGTCAGTTCACTGGTCATGTATACCCCCGCGGCCTTCCAATTTGCCTTCCGAGTATGTCCGACTCGTTCAGAATATAAGATAAAGTTCAGCTGATGCTTCTTAAGGGTCCACTGATATGTTAGCTTAGAAAAGTTCCTTGTTGTAACACGTCCTGTAGTTAACAGACGATGAGTGACAATAACGTGGCTGAAGATATGTTGACCAAACCACACACCAGAAGGTGGAGAGACGACGACGTTTCGGTCCGTTCTGGACCATTATCAAGTCGAAACGTCGTCGTGTCTTCATCTGGTGTTGTTTGGTCATCACGTCCAATAGTTTAGCTCTCGTGTATTGGTGCCTCCATACAATTCTCTGTATTCTTCTAGTTTATCTTTCCATGGTTGAGTATGCTGCCCAGACATGGAGCCAAGACCTAAAAAAAATGACAACATAAGCAGAAAAGGTCGAAAGACATGTACTAAGGCTCGAAAGTTAGCTACGAGAACTGAGCTATAGAGAGAGAGACTGAGTCAACTGCATCACTGGAAGAAATGAGGAATCAGGCAGACTTGATCATGAAATACTAAATTATACGAGAAATTGACTAAGTACTCAAAACAAAACAAAAAATCCTGAAAGAAGAACAGAACAATCACATATATATGATAAATGGAGTCACATTGGAGCCAGAAGGAACTACTTCGAAGTAAAGAAACAAATTATATGGATTATAGACGGTATAAGCTCTGTCGAGAGCTATTACTCACACACACACTGTTAAATCTTAATATAAGAAAACGAGTGAAAAAAAAGAGTGCATACGCATTTGCCAATTTGCAATAATCCACGTGTGTGTGTGTGTGTGTGTGTGTGTGTGTGTGTGTGTGTGTGTGTGTGTGTGTGTGTTTAAGAGCCCCCGAGCAGCCTCTAAACACACTGGCACCCAGCAGGCCAAACAATTTGGCGAGTTTTGAGCTCAATTGGTCCTAGAAACTTGGAAGGAACAATTAACATACACATGCAGTCACAGTGTTCCTACTGATATAGACGCCATTAAGGCGCCCCATTAACATAGAGATGGTTCACCGGCCACTCGCAAGGCCCCAGGGAATTGCCGGCAGTAACAGGCATCCCGTAATGGAATTTCATGGCGGGCATGGGAGCTCCCTTCCTTCTCTTGCTGCCCCATAGTCCTTCCTCTCTCTCTCTCTCTCTCTCTCTCTCTCTCTCTCTCTCTCTCTCTCTCTCTCTCTCTCTCTCTCTCTCTCTCTCTCTCTCATTATACAGCTCTCATTGCCCCTGTCTGGCCCTTATAAACCTCCGCGGATCAGTTCCCCCTCTTCCCTAACACTCCCCCCATTTCCCATTTTCTACTATCACCCTCCCTTCCCTATTCCGACCCCCTAATTCCGCCCCCTCCCCTTATTCCTTTCCCCCCACCTCTCACCCATTCATCGACTGACACAAACCACGTCTCTCAATTACCAGGAGTTCGATAGTGGAGCTGCAGGATGACCATGAATGGTGCCATGTTCAATACCATGGATGGTGACATGTTCAGTACCATGGATGGTGACATGTTCAGTACCATGGATGGTGACATGTTCAGTACCATGGATGGTGCCATGCTCAGTACCATGGATGGTGCCATGCTCAGTACCATGGATGGTGACATGTTCAGTACCATGGATGGTGACATGTTCAGTACCATGGATGCTGCTATGTTCAGTACCATGGATGGTGCCATGCTCAGTACCATGGATTGGTGCCATGCTCAGTACCATGGATGGTGCCATGTTCAGTACCATGAATGGTGCCATGATCAGTACCATGGATGGTGACATGCTCAGTACCATGGATGGTGACATGTTCAGTACCATGGATGCTGCTATGTTCAGTACCATGGATAGTGAGTGACATGCTCAGTACCATAGATGGTGACAAGCTTATTATCTTGGAAAACAAAAGTAAAATTTTCTCCTCTGTATAATGAGCAAATATTTTTTTGATAGAATTATCGAATTTTATAAGAAAAAAAATTATATAGACTTAAATTTGTTTTTGTCGCTAGCGACGAAAGACCTCTCGTTAGAGATCTAAGGCGCTTATCCTTATTGTTTAGGTAACAGAGGCAACAGAGCTCTTGCAACAGACAACAGTGAAACGGCAAGATTGTTTCTATCATGTTTCCCCTTGAAGCTCTGCCAATTAAAGTGAGTCTTTTTGCCATGTTTGGTCTTGACAATGTTGTTGTGGAGGGTTCACGTGCGTATGGTTCTCTTACTTTCTTAAAATCTTATATATTTTTTCTTCATCCTTTCCAATACTCTTACTTTCACTTTACTTCTTTCTGCCATAATGCAATCTCTCCTTTTTCTCGACTAGTACATTTGTATCAGTCTATCTTGGAATATATTTACAGAGTTTTCTTTAGTTTGACAATGTATCTCGATCAATTGTCTTATCTGAATGCTCCTCGTCCTCTCTCTGTCTCTCTCTCTCTCTCTCTCTCTCTCTCTCTCTCTCTCTCTCTCTCTCTCTCTCTCTCCTCTCTCTCTCTCTCCTCTCTCTCTCTCTCTCTCTCCCTCAGAGCCGCTGACTCAGTAAAGCATGATTAAAGTCTCACTATTCTCTGTGTCACATAGATCAAGAGAAAAAATCGTACTGTTTTCGTGCATAATAAAACTTATTAATCGCATTAACCCGGTCTTTACCTGCAGCAGTTTAGCCTTTCTGTTGATCTTCCTCAGTTCTGCAATCACAGTCTTGCTCAACACTAGTTTGCAATTTTTTTTGTGAGAGGTTCTTATTTTCGCAATTATGCTTCTCTTTGTCTCATTGCAATTATGTTTTCCGCCGCAATTGTATCTCTCAATATTTTTGTTTATACTTTGTTCTCATATGTTTTTTTCACTATTTTTCTGTTTCGTCCTCTCGCTCATTTGCGTTTGTCCTTCACTCTTCACGTACAGATCTATCGATCTATTAAGCTGAACACGTGCTCAACAGGTGGCGTTTGACTTGTTCATCTCAGAGGAAAAATTTGCATTTTACCTCCTTGTTTAATAGCATATTGATATGTGAACGTAGTTTGTGAGGTATGACTCGCTCAACATTAATGGGTGAAGGCCAAAGGGTCTATCAGGAATATAGTCTATTGGACAGCAAGTGGATGGGTGAGCGATTGGAACATAACCCTGTAGTTACATTAAATACATTTGGGATGTGAGATTGCTTGAACCAAAAAAGTAATATTGAAGATAACTGCATTGTCTTAGTAGTTAACGATTTGTTTTATTAATCACTGGTTGATGCGAGTTATTAGGAAAGCAATGCACGCAATTTTCGGATGGAATCACAAGCAATAAAGAGAGGCTGAAAGGTAGGATGAACAAGATTTAATTTTTTTTGTTTTTAACGATGGATTAAGGTTATTTTACGAACAGCATTTTTGGAGAGATGGAGTGCGCGCGGGATATTTTACAACACTCAGTCTGTAAATGTTCTGTATCGGTGTGACTGTGTAATGATACGGCGAATCATTACAAAGTGGTGGATCACCGCCCGCAACGCCATTCAAGATCTGTATGTAGGCCGAGTTTCTTATGGGCAGAGTTTCTTTCACCCTATGCCCCTGTTACCTAGCAGTAAAATAGGTACCTGGGTGTTAGTCAGCTGTCACGGGCTGCTTCCTGGGGGTGGAGGCCTGGTCGAGGACCGGGCCGCGAGGACACTAAAGCCCCGAAATCATCTCAAGATAACCTCTCAAGGTAGGCCATGTTAGCGCAGTCTTTCCGATGCAAAAAAGGGCATATTGCAACGCACATTCTCCTTTCCTACCTAAATTCCACAATCCCTTCCCTCCCTTCCCTCCCAATCCTTCCCCGCTCACATTTTTTTTTTGCAACGAGCCCAGCGCATCAAAATTTTATCTCAGTGTCACCTTCTGACAGCCATTATCACCAGCCAATTCCAAATATATTCCAGGATATCCCAGAGTATTTCAGAGAATACCATGACATACCGAGGTATCATGTGATTTTCTACTTCACCTTAAGAAACCATGTATAATATTCTACTTCGATTTAAGGCAGTTCATCCGTCCAAACTAAAAATATAAGCTGCTAAACACACCCCTAGCCAGGTCTAAAATATTTATCGCATACTTGAATCGCCTGCAGAATTTGACCTAAATTTAACTTTCCGAAAAGGGGTTCAGTCGCCTTCCCTGGCCACAAGCCTCTGATGCGCAGGGATTAGCTCTAGAGGATGAACAGAGGGGGAGGAGACGACACGGTCAGGGTGACGAGGAAGGGTAAGTTATAGATGGTGGTGGTAGTGGTGGTGGGAATGGTGGTGACGGTGGTTGTGGTGGTGAGGGTGGTGGCGCTAGTGGTGGTGGTGATGGGGCTAGTCAAGCTACTTACCTACCAATATCTACGAGGGAGAAGTCAGATCTAACTCTTGATGCCCAGTTTTGCTAGCCTCGTTGCACGTATTGCATTATGCTGCCATTATCCTGACGATAGAGTTCTTTGTTAGCATCTGGCCTCGAAGCTGTGAATAAAGGAGGCTTAAACAATCATTTTTTTCCTTCTTCAGTGTATCCCACATTGTTGACCACCCCCTACAGGGTATTAGTATTTCCTGACATTTCTTAAGATTTATTTTCGTCTCCAGCTTCAACCTATACAGAAGAAAATCCCAACGTGGTGATTTCTATGAGGAATCCTGGAGCAGGGATTAGAGATGGATATTGCTTCCATCCTCATCCTGTTCCAAGATTCTCTCTTAAACCTAGGTTCTTTTGTCAGCCTTTTGTTACATTTAAAGAGGCAATTCTTCCCCATCCTGTCTCCCCCTCAATATAATGTATGTTATACTCATAATGCATAAGAGAAAGTAAACTTTCTCTTACACACTCAACAAATATAGCAGCTGTCACACGACCAGAAGAAAGTATAACCTTCCTATTACCATAGAGAAAGTATACTGTAATCCTTCCGATGCACCACCCAAGAGACTGTATGCTATAACTTCCCTTAATATACAGACAAAATTATACAATAAGGCCCCGTAACCTTCGGAAGTATACTGTAATCTCTGAAATACCCAGGAGACAATATACAATATTCACAGTAATACCCTTTAGAAAGTATCTTCAATACTGGCGAAAAAACACACTGTAAAAAGGTTACGATATTCAAATATTCACCGTAACACCTTAGAGAAGTATATAAGATAACCTCTGTAACACCTTAGAAAAAGCATATTATAACCATATAACACCTTAGAGTTAAGGTGTTATATGGTGACATGGTTGTAAGGTGACATGGATGTCACCTTACTAGTGACATCCATGAGAAAGTGTACTTCAGTGCCCCGGGACAACCATGATTAAGTAACTATTGCATTACAACCTGCAAGATGCAGCTTTCATTTTCACTGATCCATAAAATAAAATGACAACTTACGGATATCACATGGGCTGCTGGGAGAATGTAGTCATTACGGTCAACACACACTCAAGAAAGGCAAGATCTCCTCTCTTGTCCATGAAAACTTTCATTGTAAGACTTTCCTCCCTGTTAAACTTTCCCTGTTAAACTTTCCCCTCGCTCTCGTTCACCAGATTGAGACTCAGTATTGTATATCATGTTTGTTTTCATACCTGGTAATACTTCGTAACTTCCTACTTCACTGTATTGTTATGCTTCACGTTTTCCAAAAGTTTTAAAGTTTCATTGGTCCTCTGTGTATAGGAAAGGTGCAGGTATGAAATGTATTTGAAGGTGTAGATTTTGAGCGACCATAGGGGCTTTTGGAGTAGAAAGAATGTATGTCTTTAGGTGAGAAATGGAGAGTGAAGATTGTGTGTGTGTATAGGTAGGGAGTGAATGTGGTTAGTATAAGTGGTTAGCAAAGGAAAGGGATGGGAGGGGGGGAGGGGTTTCTTGAAGTTATCTTTAGATGATATCTGGGCTTAGCGTCCCCGCGGCCCGGTTCTTGACCAGGCCTCCTATTTTGTTACAATCCCTCCCCCCCCCCCTAGGAAGCAGCCCGTAGCAGCTGTCCAACTCCCAGGTACCTATTTACTACTAGGTAACAGGGGCATCTGGGTGAAAGAAACATTTTGCCCCTTTGTCTCCGCCTCCACCGGTATTCGAACCCGGAATCTCAGGACTACGAATCCGAAACGCTGTCAACCCAGCTGTCAGGTGCCTCTTTAGAGAGGAGAGGGTTAGATAAGTGAGGGGTTAGAGGGGGGGGGTTAGATAAGTAATGTGGTGATTTGTAGAGATGCATCACCTTTATGCTCTCACTTTAGCAACATCTCTGAATCACTCAATTGCAGATATATTGCAAAATCTTCGCAATGCACTTGGAATGTAGAGGTTCACGTTGCTAGAAGGAATATCTTCGACTGAATTATGACTTTTTTTCAGAATTATGAATTTTTTTCAGAGAAAACAAATTCCTTAATAATGACCATTCATGTCCGAGTGGGAAACTTTCTTATACTGAGAGCTGTGTCCTGGAACCTCTGTTGTGAACCCAATGGTGTCACATAATCGGGGAAAGGAAGCTTGTTCCTTTCCCCGATTATGAAAGAATATTATGATTATTTTTCCCTTTCCTCTCCTGAAGAACTTAATTGTTCCTCAAGAGGTTATAATGTTGTTAGTGTGATATATGTATGAAAAAAAGGTTGTCCGGGTGACAACCTCACACTGAGGTTGTCACCCTGAGGTTGTCACTCTGAGGTTGTCACCCTCGGGCTGTCTGACCGTCAATCCTTTTTAACAATCGTTCTTTGTTCTCGCATTTGGTTCTGCGTTTCTTCTTTGTCTCTAATAGTTTAAATGAAATTACTAGCAGTAACGTCGTTGTTGTTGTTGTTTAAGATTC